TTAAATTTTAAGCTTAAATAACTTTAATATATAACTAGAGGAGTTTTTAGAGTATATTTACTTTAATTGTTATAGGCTAAGCCTCTAAGGCCTTAGCTAGTTAGCCTTAATATCCTTTAGCTAAGCCTTTAAGCCCCTAAGGCCTTAGCTAGTTAGCCTTAATATCCTTTTTATTCTTCCTTAGCCTTACTACTAGATAGTACTACTTAGATACTCTTTTAGTACTTATAGTAATTAAGAATATTATACTATAGTTATAATTTCTTATAATATAAAGACCTATCTAAACCTTAGTATAAAAGCTATCTTTAAGAACTTACTTAAGAGCCTTTATAGCTCTTTATTAAATTTACTTATTATTACTCTATACTTAAACTATTAAAGTAGCCCTTTATATTTAAATTTAATTATCTTATAATATATAAGTATTATATTTTTAATTTCTTAAAGCCTTTTAAAGCTTAATTTAAACTTAGCCTATTACTTAGTAAATATTATTTATAGAAGCTTTAATTAATATATTATATTAAGCTCTATAGGTAGAAAGTCTATTAAGTAAAGCTTTAATTAACGTAGTATACTAAGCTTTATAGATACTAGATCTTTAAAATTAAAAGTTTTAAAATATATAATTTTTTAAGTTCTAAGTAGCTTTTTAAATTATTTTTTAAAGCCTATTTACTAGTAAGCTAGCAGCTAGCTATTAATAAAATAAACTATTAATTAATATTTAAAAAAGTTTATACTTTAGGTTATTAAAAAAATAAAGATATAGTTATAATTATAATAGTTTTATATAGTATAGCTTAAGTAGTAGTACCTAGTAAAGTCTTACTATTATATTTATATAAATAATAATAGTAGTATCTTTAAGATTTTATTATTATACTAAATTTAAAAAAATAGCTTAATTAAAGAATTAGTACTTAAGTACTTATTATAAAAAGATATAATTTAGTCTTTTAGTATAAAGGGCTAATAATATACTTACTTATAGTCGGCGTTTGTCGCTAGAGAGTTACGTCCCTAGTATAGGGAGGCGTTGACTATATACTTTTTTATTTAAATCCTAAATTTATATTAATTTTATAGTCCCTTTAAAAGACCTATTATATATTATTATATAACTAATAAGTAAGCGTATCCCTTAAGTATCTTTAATATATAATCTATAAGCTTTTTTACTCTAATTTAAATTTAACTATAAACTTATTATACTTATACTTACTTTTATAATATACGTATAAGCTTACTATCTTTTACTAAACTATATTTACTACTTTAATATTCTATATAACTTTAATCTTCTAGTAAATATAAATAGTATTAAATACTAGGTAAAGCTATACTTTATAGTAACTTATTTATATATATTTAAAAAAGTCTTTCTTAGTAACCTTAAAGATTTTAAAAGAATCTTTTAATAACTTCTTAAAGCTTTATAACTATAAATTAAACTTAAATTATTTACTATTTATAAGACGCTAGCTAATAAGTAGAATTATAATAACGTCTTTAGGCTTTAAGTATATCTATTACTAACTACTAGCTTTAGTAATAATAAAAATTTAATAAATACTATACTAGATTTTAATATCTTTAGCTTACTTTTATTTTACTCTATTCTTAGCTATAGACTTAAGCTTTAGGATTAAATTTTAACTACTTTTTTTAAGTACTACTATAATATTTTTTTTATTTTTTTTTTATAATTTTTCTAAGACTAAAAAGATAGGTATTACTAAATTATATTAACTAAAATAAGTAGCCTCTACTACTACGTAGATAAAAAGGCGTTTAATTATTAATAAATTCTAACGTATATATAACTATATAATTAAGAGCTTACTAAGTAAGCTTAATACTTTATATATATTATTAAGTCCTTTTAAATTTAATAAGGTTAACTATTATTTATCTTAATACCTAAACTTTAGGTTAGGGGAGAGGACACCTAGATACTAGCTAGTAGGCTATATCTTTACTTTCTTTTCCTTATCTACTCCCTCTCTCTCTCTCTCTCTCTCTCTCTTTCTTATATATATACTTTACTTTATATATAAGTTTTAATTATTATATTTTATTATTATTATATAGTAATAAGTACGTATTACTATTATTCCTATTATCTTATTATCTTATATAAATAGATTATACTTACTATTATAATAAAGCTATTTAATACCCTTAATAGCTAGTAGATCTACTTTAATATAATTAATAGTAAAGTTAGATCTTTAAAGCTACCTATCTATAACGTTAGCAGTAATATAATAGTAGTACTTAAAGAAAGTAGTTAAAATTTAATCCTAAAGCTTAGGTTTATAGCTAAGAATAGAGTAAAATAAAAGTAAACTAAAGATATTAAAATTTAGTATAGTATTTATTAGATCTTTATTATTACTAAAGCTAGTAGTTAGTAATAAGTATACTTAAAGCCTAAAAATATTATTATAATTCTACTTATTAGCTAGCGTCTTATAGATAGTAAATAATTTAAATTTAATTTATAGTTATAAAGCCTTAAAAGGTTATTAAAAAATTTCTTTAAAGTCTTTAAGGTTACTAAGAAAGACTTTTTTAAGTATATATAAATAAGTTACTATAAAGTATAGCTTTACTTAGTACTTAATACTATTTATATCTACTAAAAGATTAAAGTTATATAAAATATTAAAGTAGTAAATATAATTTAGTAAAAGATAGTAAGCTTATATACGCGTTATAAGAGTAAATATAAGTATAAATATAATAAATTTATAATTAAATCTAAATTAAAGTAAAAAAGTTTATAGATTATATATTAAAGACGCTTAGGGGATACGCTTACTTATTAGTTATATAATAATATATAATAGGTCCTCTAAAAGGACTATAAAATTAATATAAATTTAAGATTTAGATAAAAAAGTATATAGTTAATGCTTCTCTATACTAGGGACGTAACTCCCTAGCGACGAACGTCGACCCTACTACTATATTACTACTAATATTATAGATAAGTAGCTTTAGAGACTTAATTTTACTATTAATTATATTAAGGTAGATCTACTAGCTGTTAAAGGCGTTAAATAGCTTTATTATAATAGTAAGTATAATCTATTTATATAAAATAATAAGATAATAGAAATAATAGTAATATATACTTATTACTATATAATAATAATAAGGTATAATAACTAGAGCTTATAAAGTAAAGTATATATATAAAGAAAAGAGAGAGAGAAAGAGAGAGAGAAAAGAAGTAGATAAAAGAAAGAAAGTAAAGATATAGCTTACTAGCTAGTATTTAGATATTCTTTCCTCTAACCTAAAGTTTAAGTATTAAAGTAGATAATAGTTAACTTTACTAAATTTAAAAGGACTTAATAATATATATAAAGTATTAAGCTTACTTAGTAAGCTCTTAATTACGTAGTTATATATACGTTAGAATTTATTAATAATTAAATACCTTTTTATCTACATAGTAGTAGGGGCTACTTATTTTAGTTAATATAATTTAGTAATACTTATCTTTTTAGTCTTAGAAAAATTATAAAAAAAAAATACTTACTTATATAGTCGGCGTTTGTCGCTAGAGAGTTACGTCCCTAGTATAGAGAGGCGTTAACTATATACTTTTTTATCTAAATCCTATATTTATATTAATTTTATAGTCTTCTTAGAGGACCTATTGTATATTATTATAATAGTAACTAATAAGTAAGTATATCTTTAAGTATCTTTAATATATAATCTATAAGTCTCTTTACCTTAATCTAGATCTAACTATAAACCTATTATACTTATAATATATATATAAGCTTACTATCTCTTACTAAACTATATTTACTATATTAATTTCTTACGTAGCTTTAATCTTCTAGTAGATATAAATAGTATTAAATACTAAGTAGATTTATACTTTATAGTAACTTATCTATATATACTTAGTAAAGTCTTTCTTAGTAACTTTAAAAGATTTAGTAAAAATCTTTAATAACTTTTTAAAGCTTTATAACTAAGAATTAAACTTAAATTATTTACTATTAATAAGAGACTAGCTAATAAAGTAAACCCTAATAATATTTTTAAGAGTTAAGTATACTTATTACTAACTACTAGCTTTAATAATAATTTTAATTTAATAAATACTATTTTAGTTTATAACTTTTTTAGCTTACTTTTATAGTACTTTATCTTTAGCTATAGCCTTAAGCTTTAAGATTAATTTTTAACTACTATTTTTAAAAGCTACTACTATATTACTACTAATATTATTAATAAATAGCTCTAAAAAACTAACCTTACTATTAATTATATTAAAGTAGATTTACTAGCTGCCTTAGAGTATATTAAATAGCTTTATTAACAGTAATAGGTACTATATAGTAAGTATAACTTATTTATATAAAATAATAAGATAATAGGAATAATAGTAATATATACTTATTATTATATAATAATAATAAAGTATAACGACTAGAGCTTATAAGGTAAGGTATATATATAAGGAAGAAAGAGAGAGAGAGAGAGTAGATAGAAGAGAGGAGGTAAAGATATAGCCTACTAGCTAGTATTTAGGTATCCTCTCCCCTAACCTAAAGTTTAGGTATTAAAGTAAATAATAGTTAACCTTACTAAATTTAAGAGGATATAATAATATTATAAAGTATTAAGCTTACTTAGCAAGCTTACTTAATTACGTAATTATATAAATGTTATAATTTATTAATATTTAAACGCCTTTTTATTAACGTAGTAGTAGGGGCTACTTATTTTTATATATAATTTAGTAATACTTATCTATTTTAGTCTTAGAAAAAAAAAAAAAATACTTTAGAATATCTAAAAGATAATTTTTTATAAGTAATATATCTAAGTTATACTTATTTAAACTTTACTAACTTATTATTTTAGAAAATAGCTAGGCTTATTAAAAAGGTCTATAAGTTAAGGTATTATATTAAAGGTAATACTTAGGTAGTATAATATAGTTTAAATTAGTATAAGTTAGTTTTACTATAGCTTAATTAGTAAAGCGTAAGTTATTTTAAACTTAAAATTATAAGTTCAAATTTTATTAGTATCTTTTAAACTATTTTAATATAGCTAAAATTTTCTTTTTAATTTTATAATAATTTTTTACTCTTATAAAATAGAGTTATATACTTTAGCTAATAGTAGCTTTTAATAAATATAAAAGATCTTTCTTAATCTACCTTATCTTAATTTAAACTAAATTAGAGTTTTTAAAAATTTATTTTAAAAAATTTCTAAGTCTAATAATCTTTTATAAAGAATTCCTAAGTTTAGTAGTAATTTTTTATAATAGTACTATTAAACTTTTTAAAACCTTTATTAAAAAAAATAAAAAAAGTAGTTATTTCTAAAAGTACTATACTATTTTTAAAGTAATTTAAAATAATCTAAATTAAAAAAAAAATTTTAATTAAAATAGATATTTATAATCCTATCTTATATACTTTTACTTTTTAAGTTTAATACTATACTTTTTCTAAAATATATATAGTATATTATTACTTATATTAAAACTTAGTTTTTAAGAGTTCTTTTTTACTAAATAGCTTTTTTATTTAACTAAATATTTTTAAACTCTTACTAAGTTTAAGTATTAGTTAATAATTTTTTTAATTTTATATATATTATTACCTAGTTTATAAAGCGTATTCTAAATTTAGATAGTTAAATATATTAATATTTTTTAACCTAAAATAGCTCTAGTAGGAATATATAAAAAATAAAGTAAATTACTTTTAGCCTTAGTATAGTAATTTTATATATATTATTTAAAATCTTCCTTTTTACTATTTCTAGACTAATAAACTTTTAGTTTAGTTTTTTTTTAGGTTATTTTAAAGTAAGTAATATAGTAATTAAATAATATTACTTTATCTCTCTCTTAAAAAGTTTTATAAAGTTATTTTTTATTAGTATATGTTTTTTAGTATATAATTATATTTTAAATTTTTCTTTTATACTTTATTTAAAGTATAAGAGTTTTAGCTATAATACTTTTACTTAAAAGTACTTTTTTTATATTTAATAGTCTTTTTAGCTAATTAGAACTATAAAAGTTAGTCTTATAGTAAGCTTAAAAAGGTAATATACTTATAGTTATTTTTTTAATTTTTATAATTTTTCTAAAACTAAAAAGATAGGTATTACTAAATTATATTAACTAAAATAAGTAGCCTTTACTGCTATATAAATAAAAAGGCGTTTAATTATTAATAAATTCTAACGTATATATAACTACGTAATTAAAAGCTTACTAAGTAAGCTTAATACTTTATATATATTATTAAGTCCTCTTAAATTTAGTAAGGTTAACTATTATCTATCTTAATACTTAAACTTTAGGTTAGGGAAGAGGATACCTAAATACTAGCTAGTAAGCTATATTTTTACTTCCTTTTTTTTATTTACTCCCTCTTTCTCTTTCTCTTTTTTTTTCTCTTTCTTATATATACACTTTACCTTATATACAAGCTCCGGTTGTTATACCTTATTATTATTATATAGTAATAAGTATATATTACTATTATTTCTATTATCTTATTATTTTATATAAATAGGTTATACTTACTATTATAATAAAGCTATTTAACGCCCTTAACAGCTAGTAGATCTACCTTAATATAATTAATAGTAAAGTTAAGTTTTTAGAGCTACCTATCTATAACGTTAGTAGTAATATAATAATAATACTTAAAAAAAGTAGTTAGAATTTAATTCTAAAGCTTAAGTCTATAGCTAAGAATAAAGTAAAATAAAAGTAAGCTAGAGATATTAAAATTTAGTATAGTATTTATTAAATTTTTATTATTACTAAAGCTAGTAGTTAGTAATAGGTATACTTAAAGCTTAAAAACGTTATTATAATTTTACTTATTAGCTAGCGTTTTATAGATAGTAAATAATTTAAGTTTAATTTATAGTTATAAAGCCTTAGGAAGTTATTAAAGAATTCTTTTAAAGTTTTTAAAATTACTAAGAAAGACTTTTTTAAATATATATAAGTAAGTTATTATAAAGTATAGCTTTACTTAGTACTTAATACTATTTACGTCTACTAGAAGATTAAAGTTATATAAAATATTAAAGTAGTAAATATAGTTTAGTAAGAGATAGTAAACTTATATATATATTATAAGAGTAAGCGTAAGTATAATAAATTTATAGTTAAATCTAAATTAGAGTAAAGAGGTTTATAAATTATATATTAAAGACGCTTAGAAGATACGCTTACTTATTAGTTATATAATAATATATAATAAGTCCTCTAAGAGGACTATAAAATTAATATAAATTTAGAATTTAGATAAAAAAGTATATAGTTAACGCCTCTCTATACTAGGGACGTAACTCTCTAGCGACGAACGCCGACATACTTATAGTTATATAGATACTATTATTATAGGTAAACTTTATAATAGATAGCTAGTAAGCCTAATTATCTTATTTAAAGTTATAAAAATATTATAGGTATACTTTAAATATTTAGTTTTACCTTTTAGTTTATCTATCTATTTTTAAATAATAAGTAAAAGTTATAACCTTTTTTAAGTTAGTATAGTATAGAAAGGTTTTTTAAAACTTTAATACTATTAGTTATTTATAGTTTATAAGGATTCTTTCTAGGTAGCTATAAAGTCTAATAACTTTATATAGCTATATTTTAGCTAATATATTTATAAAATATTCTATAAAAACTAGGATATAATATACTATTTTAGTAAAGTAATTTATAACTACTATAATCTAATTATATACTAGCCCTAATAGCTTACTATTTAAAGGATTAGTAATAAAATTAAATATAATATTAAACTATAAGTACTTTAGTATAAGAAGTAGTATTAAGAGCTTATAAAGATAATATTATTATAGCTTTACTATTTTATAGAGTATATAGTTCTTATAGTATACCTTTATATTTACTTATATATTAGGCTACTAGTATTAGTATTATATATATTTTAAAGTTTTTTTAAACTTTATATATCTAGATATTAGATTATTATAGGTATTATAAAGTACTTTAAACTATAGCTTTAGTAAGTTAAATAATTTTTTAAATTTTATAAATAGCTTAACTTTATTATAGCTATTAAATAATAAAGTAAAACTTTTAAAACTAGAAGAATTTTATTTAAAGTCTTCTAAATTTAGCTAGCGTAATTTAAATCTAATTAAATTTAATAAGCCTATAAACTCTTTTTCTAAAAGTTTTTATATCTTTTTTAAAATTATTACTTATAGTAATTTCCTTTTAAGTTTTAAAGTTTAAGAAAAAAACTATTTAACGTTTTTTTACTATAACTTATCCTTTTTATCTTTATTTATATTAGCTATCTTAATTAAAACTATTATAGAATTATTAAGGTTTTAGTATACTCTAATTAATAGTTTAGTTTTTATAAGTACTAAGTATACTTTATTATACTTCTTCTTATTTATATATACTTTAACTATATAGTCTAGTTACTAAAATAGGCTATTTATAGAGTTTTTAGCCTTAAGTCTATAAATAAAAGTATAATTAAACTTAGTAAGTTTAAGATAGAACTATATATACTATTAGTTTAACTTTTTAGTATCTATAAACTAGAAAAAGTTATTATAGTTTATAAATAAATTAAACTAAATAGCTTTAAAGTAATACCTTTAATATATTAAACTTTTAATTATAGCTAGTAGTTTCTTACTATAAGTATTATAATTATACTTAGTTAAGTTTAGCTTTTTTAAAAAAAAATTAATTAGTTTTTAGTAATCTTACTTATCTTTATTATAAACTAACTAAGTTAAAATACTAAAGATTACTCTTTTAAAAGTATCTATCTCTACTTTTATTTTTTATAAAAAATTATAGTAGGCTAAAATTAGTATACTATAAAAGGTATTTTTAGGTATTTAAAATACTTAGTAAGTATCTTCTTAGATCTTAAGTAGTAAACTCTTTTTTTTTCTCTATATATAGCTACTTTTAGTATAATTTAGCTTTTTTTAGGTTAACTTAGTTAATAGTAAAGTAATTTAAGAAAACTTTACTATAAACTAATAGTAGTAGTTTATAAATCTAATAAATACTTAAATATTATATACTATTTTTAGTTTTAGCTAGCTTATAATTATATTTAAATAAGATTTATTAAATTTAATTTTTTTTAAATATATAATAAAGCTTAGGAACTTAATCTTTTATTAGTAAAAAAAATACTTCTTTAAGTTTTTAAATAGCTTTACTCCCTTTAATTCTTCTAAGACTAGCTTAATATATCTAATATAATCCTCTTTATTATTAAAAAAAAAATTAGAATATTATTTAAGTAAATAATATAATATATATTTACTAGTTTTACTAAAACTTATAGAATATAAGCTTAAAACTATATAAGTATATTTATAAGCCTAAAAGGTATTATAGTATACTTAAAGTACTATATTTTATATAAAATATAGTTTTCTACTTATTACCTTCTTATATATAAACCTTATAGTATACCTTATAAATATCTAACTTTATATAGTACTTTACCTTAACTAACCTCTCTAAAGATTCTATAATTAGTAGTAATAAGTAATAATTTTTAACTATAATTTTATTTAAGCTTTTATAATCTATATAGAGCTATAAAGTATTATCTTTCTTCTTTATAAAAAAGATTAGCGCTTTAGCTAGTAATTTTAACTCTTTAATAAACTCTTTTTTTAAGTAATTCTTTAGATACTTTTATAATATAATAAGTTTTACTTTAAAAAGATTATAAAGTAGTTAATATAAAAGTCTTATACTATTTTTAAGCTTAATTATTAAATTATAGTTTCTATAACTAGCTAAAGTAATATCTTCTTACTTATTAAAAATATTATAATAATTAGTATACTCTAGCCTTAATTAGCCTAAAGTAGGTTTTTTAAATTTACTAATTATAGCTACTAGTACTATAAGTATATCTATTTTACTTAATTCTATTATATAAGTAAACTAGTTTATATTCTTAATAGCTATTTATATATAAATAGTTCTTTCTTTAGTTTTCTTACTTTAAAATAGTAACTACC